AATAGTGTCAGTGTATTTTGCAGCGCTGAGGCAGATGGTATTGTCACTGTCTTGGATGTTAAGTCCTAGGTACTGTGTCACGGTAGTTGCGACGGTGAGAGTTAGATCTACCTGCAGCTCCCCTTCAAACCATGTTGTTATGGCGTCGGTGGAGCCTATGTAGAGAAGGTAATCGACGTAGACGATAAGTAGAATGTAGTCGGTGCCTTTCGTCAGTCGATACATCCCTTGGTCGTGTGGTAGTTGAAGAAATCCGATGCGAATTAGGCGGGCGTGAAGATGCTGCTGTCACAGTCTCGGGGGTTGCTTGATCCCGTACAGTGACTTCTCCAGTTGACTGATTTGGTTTGGGCCTGCGTTGGACCCGTGCGGGAGTTCGACGAAAATCTCAGCGTCGACGGGGGCGTAGAGGAAGGCATTGGCGACATCGATTTGTCGAAGCTTCTTCCGGTTCATGGCGGCGATCGCGAGGAGAATCCGCAGTGAGGTATGTCGGCTTACTAGGGCGAATGTTTCCGTGAAGTCTCGCCCTTGCTCTTGGTCGAAGCCCCGCACGACCCAGCGTGCTTTGAACTTGTCGATTGTTCCGTCAGCTTTTGTTTTCACGCGGAAAACCCATTTTCCCGTGAGGATAATTTTGTTGCGTGCCACTCCGATAGGCACGACTTTCCAGGTGTTGCGTTCCTGCAGCGCCTTCAACTCTTTGTCCATGGCTTCACGCCATTTTTCCCTGTGTTCCCCCCCCAGAGCCTGCTGAATGGTAGCAGGCTCCTTAGGTGGTGCTGCTCCGTGGACAGCGGTGACGAGTCCCAGTATCTGCAGGCCACTCTGTGTGTAGTGGGGGAGATTTGTGTCCTCTGGATAAGTTGCTTCGTCTCTTTCTTCACGGTCTGGTGAGAAATTCGGTCCTATGCGTTCGGAGATGTTGGTGTCGACCGGTTGGGGTGTTACGTAACCAGTGTCAGCGAAATCGAAGTAAGTTTCGGCGTTAACACTTTCGTGAGGATTTTCGTCATCCATCGGGATGGGCACGGAGCAATATGGGAGTGGTCCTGCTTCCTCGGATGCGTTGTCCACGTTTTGCTCGTCCCAGTCAGCTTCGTCTGCTGCTGAAGCGAAGGCTCGGTTGCCACGGAAGCCGCTCGTGAGGTCTCGATTTGCTGCCAGGTTGTCCAGGTACGTTTGAAGTGTGAGTCGCTCGTAGAAGATGACATCACGTGCTGCTACCTTCGAGTGGACGTCAAAAATCTTCCATGCGTTGTAATGCTTTTCGATGCCCAGGTGTAGTCCCCACTGTGCGCGTTGAGAAAATCTGCCAGCTCTTGCAGTGTGCGGGCGGTACTGTACCATGCACCCGAAAACTCGTAACATTTTTGTGTTGCCCAGCTTTCCTGTCCATAGCAGGTGCGGTGATGCGTTGTTCGGAAGTGATGACGACGAGAGCAAGTTGTGCAGCATGACAGCGTGGTCCATCGCCTCAGGCCACTGGTGATTGGGCAGTCGCATGCCACGCAACAATTTGCGCATGGTGTTCTGGAGAGTTCTGTTCATCCGTTCTGCCACGCCTTGCTGTTGATGGGCGTAGGGAAGCGAGATGAGTCGCTTGATGCCTCGTGCTGCGAGGTACTGCCTGAACCTCTGGGACTGATATTCCCCTCCTCCGTCAGATTGGAAGCTTTTTAGCTTGGCTCCCGATTCTCGTTCTGCCACAGGTAGCCAGGCGACGAAGGCTTCGAAGGCCATGTCGCGACTTGGTAGATTAAGATGCCAGACGTAACGGGTGGCGGCGTCGATGAAAGTAATCACGTAATTGTATGCCCCTTGTCCCTGTTCGCGAGTATACATGATGTCACTGTATACTTTCTCAAGTGGTGCATAGGCTGGTGCGCTTGGATTGTGGTGAGAGATGAATGATTGATGTGGTAAGGTGGCTTCGGGACACGTAAAGCATGTTCCACGGACTCGTTGGAGTTCTCTGCCGTCGGGTAGAAGGGGTGAGTCTTTGTCAAGCACTGCTGCTTTGATTGTATTGTTTAACGTGGTGTTGCTAGGATGACCCAGTCGTTCGTGCCACAGGGATTCGCTTGCGCGATGTCCGGGAGAACGCCTGTACAGGTCGGAGTTGGAGTAAAAGGCGGCGGTAAAGTTGGCGCTTCTGTGAACCTCTCGTGGAGTGGGAGCTAATTGCTGCGCAGAAGTCGGTGGAGTGTCGTCGATGGGTGTTGGTGCCGTCGAAGAGCTCGCGATTGGTGTTGTAAGTGTTGTTGTTGTTGTCGATGTTGTTTCTGCTTCTGTCGATGTTGTTTCTTCTTGCCGGATTGTTGCTAATGCCCGTGTTCTTTCTGCTTTAGGTATGGTATGTGAATACCAGAACCCTCCAGGGCTGAAGTCGGGATCGAGGTCCGGTGGGTGCGTCCAAGAGGCGAAGTTGACGATGGCGTCGCTATCGGCGGTTCCTTGATCTGGTACAAAATCGAGGACGAAGACGTTAATTTTTAAGACTGCTCTGCCGTGGAATAGCTTGAACTCCTGAGTGGTGCTGTCTGCTTCAAGATGAATACCCTTCGCCATCAGTTGGCTGACGCTCAGTAAGTTGTAGCCGAGTCCTTCTGCAATCAGGACTTTAGACATTTGTAGGATGATGTTGGTTTCTCGGGACTGAAGTTGTACTACTCCTTGTCGTCGTGTGTGCAGGTTCTGGTTGTTGGCCACACTGATGACGACTTCGCGCTGAAGTTGATGTTCTTGTTGAACGAAACGACTTGAAGAGCACATATGTTGTCCACAGCAACTGTCCAAGAACCAAGTGTCTTGCCCGAACGGCTCGCTTTGGGCGATAGCTGCATACGTCGGATTGGGCTCCAGTGATTCGCGGCGGGGAGTCCTTTCATCGAGTTGGTCTTCTGGTGAGTAGTGGGGTGGTGATCCGGTGATGCAGGAGTCTGTCATTCTTGTCATGCAGCTAACGATGTTTCTTGTTCCTTGTGCAGATTGCGATGTTGAAGATGTTGAGGGCTGCACTTGACTGGTGGGATGCGCTTGCGTAGAGGCTACTTGACTGCTTGAAGGCCGAAGTTGACGTTGCGGTGTTGTCGAATGCTGCTGATTTGGGCAGTGTGTGCGCGGATGACCGGACGTCTTGCAAAGTTGACAAAACGGTGGGACGTACTGTTGTACTTGTCGGTTGTTGTGTCGGTTGTTGTTGTTGTTGTAGCGTCGTTGAGTATGAAAGGCGAATTCCGGTGCTAATGCTTTCTTCTTGTGTCGTTCTTCGTGCAGGTCCATATCCTGCTGTTCGGCGTGAATTTCGGCGCAGAGTGCTGCTTCGGAGATCTTCCCGTGAGCTCGAAGGAGTGCTCGAGTGGATCGCCAATGAGGACCAAGACCGGCGATGATGACTGTTACAAATGCTTCTTCCGAAATTGACCCTCCGCATCGAAGGAGTTTGTCGCGCAGTCCGCGACAACGGCTAATATAAGCCATTCCCTTTTCGTCGGGTTTCATTTCCACTGTTGTCAACTGTGCCATGAGACGACTCTGGTTAACGCTGTCTGTTGCTTGATACAGGCTCTTCAGATGGTCGTATGCCAGCTCGGCGGAGTTGCCGTATCCTCGATAAGACTGGATGTTCTGTTGCTCGTTTGGTGTTAAGTTTTGAAGAAGTAACGTATACGCCATCAGCGACTGATACGTATATTGCTGCTTGTCGTACTGTGTCCCGTGTGCCGGATATGGCAGGGACCCGTCGAAGAATCCGAGGATTTGCGCGCCTTCCATCATCAGCTCAAATTCGAATTCAAATTCCATCATCTTTCCCGTCGAAGAGTGTTGATGTCTGCAATTTTAGGACGTGTGCGAATTGCGATTGCACCTGAAGCACGTCCAGTGTCTTCTCTTGTCCAGGTGAAGACTGCGGCTGCGGCGCGAAACTGACGGAGCCGTGTTGAGGCTCATACGGGGCACAGGTAGGTTGTTGTTGATTTCCACGCGCATAGGATGAACCGTCGAGGCTCATCGGAGTTGCTCTGTTGTTGTTGTCGCTGTTGTTTGATTGCGCAGGAGCTGCTTGCTGGTGTTGCTCGTAGAAGGACATGAAGGAGAAAAACTTCTCCATCATGTTTGGGTCGAAGCCTGCTTGTTGGTTCCCGGGAGTTTCCGTTGACTCTGCAGCTGGTCTTGTGCCTTCTTCTGTCTGTAGGCCAGAGACTGGAGGTGGAGTAGGGGTGGTGCCGAGAGATCCGTTGGAGGAGCTCCTCTCCTTTTGTGTGGCCATGACTTGTGTTGTAAAAAAAAAAAGAGAAAGGTTTGAAAAGTGATCTTGTCCTGCCTGCTCTCATAGGTACCATGTTGGGCTGAGAAAAGCCCTTAGGATATTTCAAGACTAAGATCAGGTGTTGACGTAGAGATGTTGTAACAGCGGAAGCGTTTTAATAAGAGTTGCTCTGAACCACCTTGTACTGATGTGAGAACAAGATAAGTTCAGTAATAGCAAAGAGATACAAGCCTTTATATGATTACAAGGAATATGAGAAGTTCTACTTTAACTGTTTTGCTGTTGCGGTTCGATACAGTGCCGACTCGGGTAACTGCTCAGTAACGAGTCAGTTATGTGTCCTTGCTGTCGCACTGTTCGTTTTGTCAGGTCAAAGGTCGGAGACCTTTGACCTTCGCGTAACCTCCGACGGTCGCCTTGGTTGACTCGAGTGTTTCTTCGCTGTAGTCAGCTCCGTTTCGTGTCGAAGCTTCGATACGACAGAAGCGTTTTAAATCACTTGTTTCCAACAGGAGTCAGGTGGTGTAAATGGAGAGAAAACTATGTTGTTAGAATGAGAAGCTTCTAGGAAGGGAAATATATCGCCGGCGGCGTGATGTGCCTACACTAAAACACTTCTATGCTGCTTCTATGATGCATCCAAAACGCGTAAATCATAAATAGATGACATTTTTATGATGTGTTGATGACGCTTCTATGATGCGTTTACGAAGCTTCTGTGAGGCGTCTAAGAGGCTTCTCTGATGCTTCTATGCCCTACGGTGGCTGCCTGATGGGAACTAGAGGCGGGGCGGGACGGAAGCACGGGGGAATGCCTGGGAGACGGAGAGGGCGAGCGATGAGAAGAGGGGAGACGAGAGGGCGAGTGAAGGGAGGGGAGCAGAGGAGACGGGGATAGGCGAGTGGAGGGTTGTTGGGAGGGCGAGGGGAGGGAGGGGAAGTGGAGGGAAGCGAGGGAGAAGGCGGGTCCCGGGGAGGGAGAGCGGGACTTGAGCTGCGCCATGGTGTGAAGGAGAGAGTGCTTGAGTGACGCGATGCAGTAGGCCCTTTGTGCAAGCTGCGAGCAGGGAACGAGAAGGGGCGCACGGGACACACAAGGCAAGGAGAGAGAGGGAGAGCGGGACTTAAGCTGAGCCATGGTGTGAAGGAGCGACTGCTTGAGTGTTGCTATGCGGTTGGCCCTTTGTGCAAGCTGCATGCAGGGAACAAGATGAAGCATGAGAAGGAAGGGAAAGCAACAGAAAGACAGCAGGAGTAGAGAGGGAGTGTGTGAGGGAGAACAGGAGTTGAGCTGCGCCAAGAGGTGTAGGAGCGAATGCTTGAGTGACGCGATGCAGCTGGCCCTTCGAGCAAGCTGCATGCAGCTCCCCCGACTGCTGCAACAACTGCTGTTCTTCACATCACACTGATGCCTCAGGAGGCCGGGGATTAACAGAGAGGAAACTAACCCACCTGATCCTTGAGACTCGAGATATCTCCTCGCAGCTCCCCCGACTGCTGCAACAACTCGTCATCCCAATCCAGGTCCCGCCATTCCCCTGCCCCCTCACACTCGCAACCTCCACTGTTCCTTACACCCTTCCCTCTCTCATTACCCGAGAGGAAATAAACCCACCTGGTCTTTGAGACTCGAGATATCTCCTCGCAGCTCCCCAGACTGCTGCATCAACTCGTCGTCCCAGTCCAGGTCCCTCCACTGCCCTGCCCCTTCACACCCGCCACCTCCTCTATCCCTTAACCATCCTTCTCTCTCACGCCAACCCACCTGATCCTTGAGACTTGTGATATCTCCTCGCAGCTCCCCAGACTGCTGCATCAACTCGTCGTCCCAATCCAGGTCCCGCCATTCCCTTGCCCCTTCACACCCGCCACCTCCGCTGTCCCTTAGACCCTTCCCTCTTTCACCACCCGCCTCCTCTGCCCCTTCTTCCCCTTCTGCCCCATCTGCTTCCTCGGACTTGCTTTCTCCAAGCTTTGTTTCCTCTATATCTGCCTCCTGAGTCTCCTTCAAACCTCCAAAACATTGCTCCCACTGCCTCCCCAAATGCTGACGCTCCTGGTGCTGCAGCCTCAGAGCAGCAGCCAGCGCATGGCACGCCTCCATCTGCTGCCCCAGCAGCCGCCGCAGCTCATCTATCTGCCCCTGCTGCCGAGCCACGAGCTCCTGAGAGCAGAAAGGGAGGGGAAGTAGAAGCGGAATGCAGGGCAGCACGGATCAGAGCAGAGCAGCAGCAGCCAGTGCATGGCACGCCTCCATCTGCTGCCCCAGCAGCCGCCGCAGCTCATCTATCTGCCCCTGCTGCCGAGCCACGAGCTCCTGAGAGCAGAAAGGGAGGGGAAGTAGAAGCGGAATGCAGGGCAGCACGGATCAGAGCAGAGCAGCAGCAGCCAGTGCATGGCACGCCTCCATCTGCTGCCCCAGCAGCCGCCGCAGCTCATCTATCTGCCCCTGCTGCCGAGCCACGAGCTCCTGAGAGCAGAAAGGGAGGGGAAGTAGAAGCGGAATGCAGGGCAGCACGGATCAGAGCAGAGCAGCAGCAGCCAGTGCATGGCACGCCTCCATCTGCTGCCCCAGCAGCCGCCGCAGCTCATCTATCTGCCCCTGCTGCCGAGCCACGAGCTCCTGAGAGCAGAAAGGGAGGGGAAGTAGAAGCGGAATGCAGGGCAGCACGGATCAGAGCAGAGCAGCAGCAGCCAGTGCATGGCACGCCTCCATCTGCTGCCCCAGCAGCCGCCGCAGCTCATCTATCTCCCCCTGCTGCCGAGCCACGAGCTCCTGAGAGCAGAAAGGGAGGGGAAGTAGAAGCGGAATGCAGGGCAGCACGGATCAGAGCAGAGCAGCAGCAGCCAGTGCATGGCACGCCTCCATCTGCTGCCCCAGCAGCCGCCGCAGCTCATCTATCTGCCCCTGCTGCCGAGCCACGAGCTCCTGAGAGCAGAAAGGGAGGGGAAGTAGAAGCGGAATGCAGGGCAGCACGGATCAGAGCAGAGCAGCAGCAGCCAGTGCATGGCACGCCTCCATCTGCTGCCCCAGCAGCCGCCGCAGCTCATCTATCTGCCCCTGCTGCTGAGCCACCAGCTCCTGAAAGGGGTGGGAAGGAAGGGGAAGTTGTAAGGGAACAACACAAGGCAGCAGTGCAGCATGGGTCAGAGCAGCCAGTGCATGGCATGGCTCCATCTGTTGCTGACCAGGTGGCAGCATGGCGGCAGGTGGCTTCACCCAAGGCCCACTCACACAGGCATCAAGTAAGTGATTTTTTAGGCGCCTCAAAAATCACCCAAGGCCCACTCACACAGGCATCAAGTAAGTGTTCTAAAAACGCTAGGAAAAAAAAAAATCTACGCACTAATGTCTCAAAGCAGCCTCTAGCCTGAAGGCAGGGAAGTAACCTACCCGGAGATCGCTGCTTGGTGATGGGCTGCCAGCATGAGCATGATGACACGTGGCGTGAGCCCAGGCCTGTGATCTGCCACGTGGAGAGGCTGATGCTGTGCCACGTGGCATGGCCATATCCTCCATATCCTCACTGCCGTGGATGCAAGATGACCCCATCAAGTCAATCGTACGATGAGACTCCTTAGAGCATCCACTCATAGCCACACCCAGTCTCAGCCAATCCGACGTCCCGTCCTCACTTCCCCTTGCCCCCTCCTCTCTTCCCATCTCCGCCTCCTCTCCTTCCTCCTCCCCCTGCTTCCCTACCCCGGTCCTCCTCGCTGTCTCCTGATCTCCCTTCTCTCTCCCCAGATCTTCCTGTGAATTACCGTGTGTTGTTCCTTTCCCCTGTCTCCCTCCCCCTCCCTGTCCCCCACCTCGGCCAAGCGTCAAGACAGAAAGATCTGAGTCCTCATGCTCAGCAGAATAAGCGTTCAACGATTTTCCACTCTCCGACTCCCCCCAACGCGCATCCACGTCCAGCAAACCTTCTCTGATGCTCCCATCACCACTCCTCTCACCAGAACCCCTCGCACTGCCCTCCCTTCCGCTGCTTCTCGCAATGCTACTCCCACTGCTGCTGCTGCTGCTGCTGCTGCTGCTTCTGCTGCTGCTGCTACCCTCTCTGCTGCTGCGCCCTCTGTCACTCTCGCTGCTACTGCACCCTCTGCTGCTGCCAGCACCACTGCTGTACCTCCCCCCTTTGATCAGACCCATCCTTCCTTCCCTGCTGCTCTCTCCCACACTCTCCCTCACACCCTTCCCCACGTTCCACCCGCTTCCCACGCTCTCTTGTGCTCCTTCCCTCTCCCACCTGTCCCAACTGAGTCTCTCTGTCTGGCGCTCATATACCCAAGCGTTCTCTCCCTCAATCTGCTGCTGCTGTGACTGAAACTGCCGCAGCAGCAGCTGCTGCTGCTGCTGCTTCTGCTGCTGCTGCTGCTTCTGCTGCTGCGGCGGCTGCTGCTGCTGAAACTGCTGCTGCTGCTCCGGAGGGTACAATCTGGGGCTCCAGGCTTGGGGCATGAGTGAGATAGGTGAGAACCGATGCTGCTGGCGCTGCTGCTTCTGCTGCTGCTGTCGCCCTTGCTGTTGCCCTTGCTGCTGTCCCGTTTCCTGCGCCTCTTGCTGCTGCTGAAGCTGCCGCCCATGTTCTTGCCCTTGCTCCTGTTCTTGCTGCTGCTGCTGCTGCTTTTGCCCTTGCTGCTGCTGCTCCTGTTCTTGCTGCTCCTTTTCTTCAGTCATACTCGCACTGCTATCCCTGAATTCTGCTTGGCTAACAACCTCCTGGGAAACTTCATAGTCTGTCCCCTTTCCTTCCCACGTCAGAGCTGACTCAAAAACCGTCAAGGCACCAGACCCTGTTTCGCTAACAGCGTCCTCAAAAACCTCACAGTCTAACCCCTCCCTTTCCCACCCTCCACCTTCTGCTCCCCCTCTCTCCCTCTCCACCCTCCCCTCCTCAGCCCTCCCCTCCTCTCCCACCTTCCCTTCTCCCTCAACAACATTTCCTCCCACATCCCTCTCCTCACCCCCTTGCCTCACTTTTCCCCTTTTATCCTCACTTCCACCCCCTTCCCTCTCCTTCCCACTGCCCTCCTCTCCTCTCTCCATATCTCCCGTCCCCATCACCTCCCCCACACCGGCCCTCCCACCAGCATTCCTACCAGCAGCCAGTACAGCTTCAAACGAGGCCAGGAACCCACCTAGCGTAACAAAATCCTCGTTTCCCTCTGCTGTCACCACTTCTCTCCCTTCTCCCACCCATTCTCGCCGTTCTTCTACCACCCGTCGTCCTTCTGCCTCCTTTTTTCCCCGTTCTTCTACCATTCCTCTACCTGCCAACGCACCCTCGTGTATAACACCGCCCTCTACCCCTGCTGACTCGTTTGTGGATGACTCGATATCAGTAAGATCCGGCATACTAGAGCCCGAATTCTCCCCCTCTCTCCCCCCTTGAAACCATTTCGCGGACACTCCCCACGGCCCTGCTTCCGAGATGCACGGAGCATCAACACTACCAGCTGGCCCAAACTCTCCCTGCGTCTCCACAGTCAGGTCGGAACCCTCCTCTAGAATGCTGGGGAGAGCTGCAGACAAACGCCGATCTCCATGTGACCTTTGAATCACATCCAACCCATAATTTAAACCACTTAGAAGGAACGTATCCTCGCCATCCCCACACGCACGCTGTGTCCCCTCTGAAGTCTCCTTCTCAGGCGTCTCAAAACCCAGGCCCCCCTCCTGAAACTCATTCTGACACGTCTCAAAACTCGGGCTACCCTCCAGAGACTCCTCTCCGCGCTTGCTACACATACACTTGCCACTTCTTTGCTTTTGAGTCGACTCAAAAGCAAAACTATGACCCCCCTCCAGAAACTCGTTCCCGCACGTCTCAAAACTCGGGCTACCCTCCAGAGACTCCTCTCCGCGCTTGCTACACATCCACTTGTCGCCACTTTCTCTCGGCTCAACCACCCAACCGCCCGTGCTCTCCTCCACATCAGCTACCCACCTGCCCGCGTCTTCCCCTGGCCGCACGTCCCAACCGTCAGTGCTCTCCCCCGCGTCAGCCATCCACCTGCGTGTGCTCTCCCCCGGCCCAAACACCCAGTCCAGCACCAGCCGGTCCATCCCAGCCCTCGCTGCACACCTCTCAAGCTCCGCTGCTGCTATAGTTGCTGCTGCAGCTGACACCCTCTCTTCCTCTCCACGTGCTGGTGCTGTTACTCTTGCTTCTCCTGCCTCTCTTGCTGCCACTGCCGCTCCTGCATTTCGAATATGTAGGCCGTACGTTCCAAGCCTATAAATGCCATCCTTCTGCCTTTCCAGCACATGCTTCCCATGCGACTTATGCGTCCCATGCATAGCATTACAGTCATCACGCGCATGTCCATTGTGCAGCACAGACCCTTCCATTGTCCATTGGCCAAGACAACTAACCCCACTCTCCCCTTCCTCCATCCCCATCCCCCCCTGCTGCTTCCTCTCCTGAACCCGCCTCTTCTCTCCTCTCGCCCCACCCGTCAGTCTCCCCTTCTTCTCACAGCAGCACACACACGTACCACTACCCGAGTGGTCCATTGACCTTCCCTCGCTTTCACCAAGCCCCTTAACCACCTCTCTGCACCTCTCGCGAGTTCTCCCACAGCCTCCACGTGGCAGGCCACGATTGGCAGCTTCTGCATGCGAGCACTCGCCAGCCCCTGCCTCTCCGTCCTCGTAGCGAATCCACGCGCCCTGCACCCCCTCGTGCTCCTTATAACGAGTCAATCTCTGCTGCTCTTCCCCGAGGTCCTTATATCGAGTCATTGCGTGCCCCTCTTCCTCTTGGTCCTTATAACGAGTCATGGCGTGCTTCTCTCCCGCACGATTGTAACGAGTCAGGGCGCCTTCCATGAGATGCAGAGATGCCACCCACGCCACTGCCTTGGCAGCAACGATGCACGCATAGGCGCGCTGGGAGGGGAGGCGCGCTGGGAGGGAGAGCGCAGAGGTGGGAGACGGGAACGCCGAAGAGAGTCGGGCATTGGGAACGGGAGGGGGCGGAAGGTTGACACGGAGAGGGACGGAGAGGTGGAGAGAGCGACAAAGATGGGGGAGGGAGGGAGCAAGAGGAGGCGGAAGGATGGACGAGAGGGAAGGAGTGAGGGAAAAGAGAGAAGACAGACAAAGGGACGTAGAGGGAGTTGGGGAGAGAAAGATGGAGGAAGAGAGTTGGGTGGAGCGAGGGAGTAAATCGATTGACAGGAGGGAAAATGCAGGGAAGGGGACGGGAGGGGAGGGACTTATCACCCACGGACAAGCGAGCCTCAGCACTTACGCAGAGGGCGGATGCCACGTGGCAGGGAGAGCGCCACATCATGCTTAAAACGAACGATCTGGACCCATCTGCCGCTCCCGTTAAGCTCTCCCCCGTTCTAAGGGACTCCAGAAACGCCCTCTCCATTTCAACCCCATCGCTCCACCAGTCGTTAGAGTCACCAAAGCCGCAGCCACCAACGTCATCACTGACGTCACCATCCACGTCATCACCAACGCCATAACACAAGCTCCCACCATCCCCACCCTCCCATCCTGCGCCTCTCACTCCCTCCAAGTCCCACAAATCCCCTCCTCTCCCCACACCCAATGCCTCCAACCCGGCAGGTACGGCAAGATCCATGCCTGCCACCAGCCTCGGCATTCCCAAGGCACTGATGCTCCGGCTGCAATTGCCGCTGATACCAGTGATGCCAGTACCAGCGCCCCTGATACCACTGATATCACTCATCCGCCTGCGAATCCAACCATACTCCCGTCTTTTCGCCCGGTCCGCTAGTTCCGTCTCGCCTGGATTCCCTGCCGTATCCGCGTACTCGTTGTGACTCGTCCACGTCACTGTAAGCGAAACGGAGCGCACTATACCGCGTCCAGGAGGGCGGCTCCTGGCCGTATCTGCACCTTCCGCAGGTCCCCAACGTCCCACGTCCGCATTCCCGCTATTCGCACCTAGCCCTGACGCTGCTGACGCTGCTGTGCTGCCTCTCTCCACGCATCCTTTCTGCTCCGCGACTGGTTTTGGGATCCCGGAATTGACGGGTTCGCTGCGCTTACCCACCAATCCTCGCACAGGGAAGAAATACTTCAGTTTGCCCAAGAACCCACGACCAGAGGGCCGGACTTTCCGCTCCGTCTGAGTGCCGTTGCTTGTTCCTGTAGCGAGAGAAGTATTAGCGAGAGGCGAAGGATTTTCTGTCGGCGCTCCTTGATCGTGCTGATGTGGATGCTGATGCTGCTGACGCGGATGGTGGTGATGCTGTTGGTTCTGAGGATTACGGTGCGCCTGAGCGATCTTCGCAGACCGCGGTTCGCTCCCTAGTTTACCCGCGGGTTGCGCTGTCAGGTTCGTTCTGTCAGCCAGCGGGTTTGGTTTCCGCGATCCGTCTGCTGTGGAGCTCTGAGGATTGCTGTTGCTGGAAAGACCATAATTCGAGTGACTGTGACCGGAGTGATTATGATGAGAGCTGTGGGCAGGGTGACAACAACCGGCGCTTTTACCAGAAGCTCCAGGCCCAGAAAAGCCGGGAACCATACCAGGAATTTGGCCGTAAAGCGCGCTGCTACTGTAGCAACTATTGGACGGACAGTCTTCCCGCACGCGGCAAAAGGGGAACGACGCGCCGTCGATACTCTCGAGGTGGCTCGGAGAGGGGAACTCCCGAGGTGGGAATTCTTGATGCGGGTCCAGGACCGCGCTGCACTTGCGACGCTCTCTTGTAACGAATCGAGCGCTGCATGTGACTGTAACGGGATCGAGCACCGTGACGCGGTGCTCTTGGCCAGAATCATGGGTCGCCATAACAAGCAACGAAGAAGCGGCTGACGGGGAATGCGACGTTCAGTTGCTGCTTCACCAACCTTAACCTGAGCCGCAGTCGAAGAAGGCCTCGAAAGAATACTGCCAGGAAAAGGAATCTGTCAACGCAGAGAACACTGCTATGGTCGCGCTAAAGCCATGGCGTCATGGCTGCAGCTGAGGAACACTACTATTTCTCCTACAGAGAGGGTTGAAGCTTTGCACCTCTCATGTCCTCTTGATAAAACTAGTGCGCAGGGGCAACTGACAGGGATACTGTGGAGCTCCACGGTTGCGTACAATGCCGTGCATTTTAGAACGGTTCCAACCTATTTTCACCGCTAACCTTTCTGAACATTGAAACGGAATTCGTGAAGGAACTACCAGGGATGGGAACGAACGTCAGGCAGCCAATCACGAAAGCGACGCGGGACAAATTTTCAAGGAGCAGCTGTGGCTGATTGGCTTGGCTGGCGGATGTTGCGAGAGGTGTTGCAGACTGAGCTGAGCCGAACGAAAGGAGGCAATTTCAACGGTGGCGGGAAACTGACTGTCAGACAGTGCAGGGCTGGCATTGCGCGCCAGAAATGTACAGAACCAGCACCCAGAAGTAGCAAATTCACGTAACCACAATCACAACTGTTTCGTGGCCATGCGAATGTCGCAACACCATTGGCAACAGTGATGAGGAATTGGGTGGACAAGCTACTTCACTGATCGCACAACCTCCAAGACAGCTTCCATCATACCGTATTCTCCCGGATATAAGACCCGGGGGACTTTCCTAAAATAGAGGCAAATTGGTTAGAGTTGTATAAGACCCAGGTACACTTATTAATCAAGTACAGTTATGCGATTTAGGGTGTACCATTCGTTTTTTTGCACGTCCAAATCCACCGCTTACAGCACTCCGAACCTCATATCGCGTGTGACACGCGTCGTCCAACTAGGCACGACGGCGGAAATCACACCATTCGAGGCGAACCGCACAGCATCTTGAGTGTGCGGTTCCCTCAGGTGCCCACATCCAGAACCCCCCCCCCCCACCCCCCCTTTGCATCACGTCAGTTCCTTTAGCGACAGAGAGAGGGACAGGCTCTGGACGTGGTGCGGAACGGATCCCTCACAACTCTAAACTGTTAATTCAAGTGTGGATCCAAGTGCAGTATTAATTCTAAACTGTTGGGCAATGGTTTCTTTAACAAAATCCCCTCCCCTAGAGGAAGGGGAGGGGGTCTTATACTGATTATAGGCTTAGGGGGGGTCCTCTCACATATGCTACATATTAAGAGTCCCAGTACCGTTCAAAAGTCCCGGGGGTCTTTTTTTCGGGAGGGTCCTATATCCGGGAGAATACGGTATTTTCATATGGATTCTTGGGGCAGTTCTCTCTTTGTGCAGTAAAGTGTGATTGTTGTAAGCTTACTAGCTCATTGCATATAGCAACCAAATGAACCACCACAAATCATGCCACCACACATCACTACAAACCGACAAACAACTTCCTTCTACACACTACGTAACAATACGACTGGACCCAGCTTCCGAAGCTAGCGCACGAGCAGCGAGGTGCGGATAAGTTCGGAGAGTGTGAAGGTGGAGGAACGAGCAGATGGTGGCGGAAAGGACCAGTGGTGATCAAGATGGTGAAATGACGGGTATGTGCATGGACTGCTGTTTGGATGTGCTATGCCATGGTGCTGTTGGAGTAACGGGAGGAGGGCACAGGAATAGAAAAGAACAAATGCTGATCAGTGAGAGCATGCAAGGGGCCAAGCAAAGCGAGAAAGAGGGTTGAAGGGGGACTGAAGAGAAATAGGGACTGTGCGATTGATGACAGGAACAGAGCGGGAGGGGTGGAGAGTGAGGAGTGAGAGCGGTTCATCAAAAGGGGACAGCAGGAGAAATGTACAGAACGAGGAAAGGGATGGAGACGGTGGAGCGCGGGGAGGGGGGGAGGGGGATGTTGGGTGGTTTAGAAGGACAAGATGGTCAATGAGCAAACAATAAGTTCGGACCGTCATACCTAGGGTGCGGAAGCACACAGCATCGCAGCATTTACTTCTCAGACGAGTTAGGGCCGCGCTTCTTGCCGAATCCCACCACTGCAGGGCGGGGAAGGGGCAAATGGCAAGGGAGAATCGGAAAGACGAGACGGAAAGAGGTAAGAGATTGTCAAGGCACACGAGCAGCAGTCAGCGTTGGCGGGCTGGCGGGCGTGAGTAGTCAGAACGAGCAGTACAGGTGGTTCGCCACCCACGCTCCTGATTACACAGTCAGACGCCTTACTCTCGTAACACAGGCTCGCTTGTAACACAAGCTCATGCCTAACGCTAAAACTACACGCCCGTGACTTCACGCTCGTAATATAGGATTGTAACGGAGGAAGGTACCGCCCCGACAATATCTCCCAGTAAAGATCGAACCCGGCTTGACGTCGCCCAGATATGCGAAACTGCTGCGCCTATGTGCGACACTAGTGCTGCGACTCCTGTGCGAGAACGCTGTTAAGTAGATTAGAACTCTGCCGCCGAGTGCGACGACACACCGTCGAAACCCTCGTCAGACCCTGAAAAATACCTATTTGACTACCCCGCCTTGCACCTGTGCGATCTGACCTCATTGAAAGCTGCTTCTGTCCTTTAAACAGCCTCGATATCTGACCCACTCAAGCCTTTGGTGCTGCTAGCAGGGTGCAGAAACCGCTCTCTCCTACCCGCAGCTCCCCCAAACGAAAGTCGCGCAGTGGCCCCACAAGCGACGGTGACTACAACGGGTGCGCGTACCGGCGGTGACGAAGCGGCGGTTGTACTGCATGCCCTTGCGTGCTTGCCTGCAGTGACAACAACGGGCGTGAGCTAGCCTGCAGTGACTACAAAGGGTGCGTGCGTACCGGCGGTGACGAAGCGGCGGTTGTACTGCATGCGCTTGTGCGCGCGGCCCTTGGGCTGCTTCTTCTTGTCCTGCTTCTCCACCTTGGGCGTCTGCCCGCGCACCTTACCGGCACGCGCCAACGATCCGTGCACCTTACCTGCGCGCAAGTGTGGAGAGGGAAACGGAAATGGGAACACAGGTATTGGGGATAGTTAGGGAGGGGAATTAGAACTGCTTCTCCACCTTGGGAGTCTGCCCGCGCACCATACCGGCACGCGCCAACGATCCGTGCACCTTACCTGCGCGCGAATGGGTGGGGGAAACAGCGGGCGGGGGTGGAGCGCGAGGAGGAATAGCGACGGATGGGAATGGAACGGGAGGGAGGGTGAGAGGGAGTCGACAGGTTGGGCGTCTGCTCTCGCACCTCGCGGGCACGAGGCGAACGGTTAGGGTACCTTAGCTGGCCTCGCAGGATAGTGCGACCATGAGCATTGAGGAGGATCAGGAAAGATAGAATCGCAGATCGCACAAGCGCGTGCCACTGAATGAACGAGACAATCACTGGTAGAGATATACAATCTCGGAACAAAAGAAAAGCATGGAGTCTGCTCAGTGTTGCTCTAAGTTGGAGCGAAATTTGGATAGTCGACATAGGTCAGATTAATCAGCAATGACTGGTACAGAGAGGCGTAAGCGGTTTGTTGGTGCAGTCAGCACGTTTCGGCAAAATTAGGTCAGGGTTTCGGGGTTTGTTACAACTCGCGTCATCACCTCTCAACCAATCCGCTATGCGCTACCGAACTGCCTTAGAAGAAATATAACTCACTCATGGTGAGAAGTAGAGTCGCGACGTCGCAAGCAACGAAGGGAGCGGCGGCACGGGGAGTGCAACGAGCTTAGGGTAGGAGACTAAAGCCGCGAAAAGAGATCTTGGGAAAAGGAGTGGGCGGAAAATAAGATGGGGTGAGAAAGCCAAGGCAGGGGCGGGTGCGGAGGGTATGCGGAGGAGGTGGTGAAACCGGGGAGGGAGTTGTTGCGGAAAATCGGGGGAAATCCTACAGAGACATGTCGGGGTTTGGGGGAGGGTATGTGAGGTTAATTGCGAGTGGCGGAAGCATTCGTTTCCTCGTTACAGTCCGATTCTTTTGCAATCGGAATCAGACTGCAGTATAATCTCAGCATCTTAGCAAGTTGCATTCGATGTTATTGATAGTACAAAGTTTTCTCAGCCATCAGTGTAGGTAGCAATATCTGCTGAAGAATCGGACGGTCACCGCTCTGCACCGTATGTTAACCCACTCTGACACAAAATACCAGGTACAACTCCTCGCAAAGTGCGGACTCTGGACTCGTCGCGGCTGGACGTACCACCACGGCCCCCCGTGTTTCTACGTTTCCTGAATCCTGGTTTCTCTGCTGTGCAACCATGCCTGGGTTGCCTTGCTCTGCGTTTTCTTTTGCAAGCATACAAGTTCTGAAATTATACAATTTTGGTGACTGCATGCGTTGTGCTTGGGGAAACCAAGGTTCGGCTGGCGAGGAAAATCGGGCAAGACATTTCGCCAAGACTCTTCGAATAATCGGTGTCTCTAGTAATATTTGCTGATTGGAATCTGTTTTTGGTTTAACCAGGACGCGACTTGGTAACGTTTAGAGCAGCTTGGCTAGCGAGGACGGGGACGGTTATAAGGCAGAATCGGTACACTCTATCGAAAGCACCGTACGGTATAGCGACGCAATACCGCGTCGCGAACCGCGCGACGTCTTGAACGCCAGCAGTCGCAAACGCGCGGCGGGAAGCGGATGGGTCCCCGCGACGACGGCGGGGATCCGCAGAGCACAGGCGGAGGCGCAACGCTGTGGGGGAAGCTGGAGGAGACATGCAGGTGTGTGGTGGGGGGAAGGAGAGGGGGTTGGGGGAATGGTGGGGAAGATGGGTTGGGGGAAAGGGGAGGGGGAGGTTGCGCGGCGACACTTTCCTGGAACTGCATTCACCCTCTCCTCCCCCTCCTTCTCCCCCCTCACGCGCCCCTCCCCCCGCTCCTTGGCTTGAGAAGCCCCCTGGCAAGCCCAGGCCTCTTGTGGTAAAATTCCATCTGAAAAAGGCGATCCATACCTGTGCCGAACCACCTCAATTGTCCCCTCTCAGGTATTACACGGGCCTTCCCAAGCCTCGCGTGGAGGCTCGGGTGGTGGAGTTCCGATCCGAGAGGCAGTTTGTGTCGCTGCTGCAGCAGGGGAAGCCAGTCGCCGTCGCCTTCACCTTCTCGTGAGTGCCCTGCGTGCACCTTCTCCATGTAGCTGTGCTGCTGGGTAGGTGGTGCCGCTGCTGTCGAGAGGCAGTTCGTGTCGCTGCTGCAGCAGGGGAAGCCAGTCGCCGTGGCCTTTACCTTCTCGTGAGTCTCGCGTTTTCTGTGGCTGATTTGACACACAAGGCAACGTGTTCTGTTGCATCAGGCAGACAGTCGTGGGTGGGCAGTTTGTGTCGCTGCTGCAGCATGGGAAGCCAGTCGCTGTCGCCTTCACCTTCTCGTGAGTCTCGTACTTGCGGTTGCTGATTTGGTTCTGCTTCATCAGGCACAGACGTGTGGATTAGCAGTTCGTGTCGCTGCTGCAGCAGGGGAAGCCGGTCGCTGTGGCCTTCACCTTCTCTTGACTTCCCTTCAGCTATCGTCTCCTCGCGTCTGCTATGCTGCGGCAGGCACACGTGTGGATGGGCAGGTCGTGTCGCTGCTGCAGCAGGGGAAGCCAGTCGCCGTGGCCTTCACCTTCTCGTGAGTGCCCTTCAGCTTTTCACGTCTCGTGAGTCCCTTGCTTGCACCTTCACCTTCGCGTGGTGCTGGTGCCTTGGTGCTGCTGCTGAAACGCACCAGCAACGTTGGTGGTGCCGCTGTTATGGGTGGGCAGCTCGTGTCGCTGCTGCAGGAGGGGAAGCCAGTCGCCGTGCTGTGCACCTTCTCGTGATTCTGGCGTATCAGGCGATTCTGATCTGATACGCACAGGGGGTTTCGTCTGTTGCATCAGGCAGACAGTTGTGGGTGGGCAGTTGGCATCGCTGCTGCAGCAGGGGAAGCCGGTCGCCGTGCTGTGCACCTTCTCGTGAGTCTGGCGTATCAAGCGAGTCTGTTTTGATACGCAAAGGGAGTCTCGTCTGTTGCATCAGGAGGCAGTTGTGGGTGGGCAGTTCGTGTCGCTGCGGCAGCAGTGGAAGGCGGTCGCCGTGGTGTGCACCTTCTCGTGGGTCTCGCGTTTGCAAGAAGTCCTATTCAATTCAATACACAAGGGAATGTCTTTTGCTGGATCAGGCACACACGTGTGGGTGGGCATCTCATCAGCATTCCCTTGTTCGTCCCGGAGGTAATTTATGAGACAAATTAAGACGCTTTTGATACTTCGGGGGATTTTGAGACGTGACGTAAGCACTTCGGTGTTGTTTTAAAAAAATTCTAGAATTCTTCTCGCATTTGAACCCTCCCCTTGTTCTTGAGCCTTCCTCCCTCATCTCATCTACACTTACCCCCTCGTTTTGTTGCCCTTGTCACTTTGCCACTCCCTCACACAACGTTACTGAGAGTTTATTCCTGCGTCTTCCTCCTCTGCTCTCTTTTCCACCCTGCAGCTGTGCACACACGCGTCATTTCGATGAGGTGTTTCGACAAGCGTCAGCTGATCTCCACCCCTATGTGAACTTCATCCGGGTAAACATGCTACTCTACCAATAATTCCCCCCCCCCATGCTGCTCCTTCCATGCAACCTGCTCTGTTCACCGCTGATCCCGTCTATCGTTCGCGCGTTTGCTTACAAGCACAGGATGCTGCTTCAATCAAATTGTCAGGCATCTATAATTTCACAAGTGCTCTTCCAGTCACTGCTAATTTTTAAGTGCTGTTTCAAAACTTATGATTTCATGTATGTTCGTTAAAGTATATCACAACGCTCTTTGATGCCATGGGTAGGTCATGGCTGCTGGCATGGCTGCTGGCATGACTGGCAGGTGGATTGCCCCAAGCACCTTGGCTTCTGCATCGCCCGTCAGCGCAAGGACTACCCCTTGTGTGTTTTGAGTCGACTCAAATCACAACTCTCTCTGATGGCTTGTCTGCTGGCATGGCTGATGGCATGACTGGCAGGTGGATTGCCCCAAGCACCTTGGCTTCTGCATCGCTCGACAGCGCAAGGACTACCCCTTTATAGAGGTCTTCTATAACTCCAAAGAGGCGCAGCCGCAGCGGGACCCGACCCCCCCTGCGGGAGGAGGTGCAGGAGCAGCAGGAGTGGTTCGCTACAGTGTCATGGTTCTGCCTGTAAGATTTATGTTGTTTTGTTCGTATTTGGTAACCCATGCTGGACCAGAGCTGTCCTTATTCGTCTCCTCTGAAGCAAGGACTGGTTTTGTCGCTATGTTGCGAGCCTTTATTACGTTGCTTGCATCTCTGTGGTTAATATCGTTCGCCTAATTTTATTCCCCCTTTTCCCATTTCCATGAATTTTAATCGCAGTACAACTACGACGTTAGCACTTATGGTTTTAGAGAATTCTTCAAGAAGCATCAATTAGTCTCTCCTAGTTTCTTGAAACATACTCAAGGGATTCATACGTTTAGTCAGTGACAACTGTAAATTGCTAATTGAGTCAGCCTTGCATTGATGTACCTAATGCTGATTGATTTATGTTTGGGTATGGTAATTATTGGGAGTAGTAGAAACTTCGGTAGTTCATTCCCTCCACTAATTACTCAATCGAAGTGCTTATTATAGGTATTTTTGCAAAACACTTACAGGTCATGCTGACAGTCAGTGCAACATCAATCACTCTCGCCATTGGTCATCAAAAGGGGCTGTGCGTGCTTCTAGGTGGGTGAGCGCATCTGCTGTGCGATATTTTCAGGCTCATCGTACGGCACGATGTGATGGCAACAGATGTGATTACCCATCGCATGTGAAGCATCCTCCCGTTGCCTCATTGGTGGTTGACCGCTCACCTCGACGTGATCGGCACATCAGTGACCATGCGACACATCGGCGTCGCCAACACCATACATGCGACCCATCCCCACGGCGTCGTCTTGTGGGCATGTCTCTCGTGGTCACCTCTAATGCGACTCGCTTCGGCTGCTGCGAGAGTGCTGCACGGAGGGGCATGTGTTCTCTCGATCTGCCCTGCGAATGGGCGGGCAGCGCTGCGGCTGCTCCTTGTTCTGTCGCGGCGGCACCAGCTTGGTGCACGCTGGCGCAAGCTCATTCGTCCGCGTGAGCCAGCATGTTCCGCCCGCAATATCTTGAAACCCTCATCTGCGGAACCCGTCGCAATGGCTGCATGCAACTTTGAATTCCTTCCGCGTGTGGCTTACCCCAAACCGGGCAGCCAAGCGCAGCGAGAAATTGTTATCTTGCCCGAAATGAAACAAAAAGATGCTCCTGAGTGGAGCGGAGTTTTTCTGAGCGTCTGACCTTTCAAACTCCCACAACTGTTTTTTATCAGCCCGTGACATTTCCACTCGAATTTGAATCTCGGTTAGCTCGCAATTTTGTTCCGCTCCGCCCCACATTAGCTAAAAGAGAAAGTTAACATCGCCAGTGAGCAGAGGTCACTGCGGACGGAACGTGCGCGGAGTGCGTGCGACAAGTCAACCCAGCGACACACACTCAACAGGCGAGACGACCAGAGCAGACGAGCAGAGCGTAGAACAGTGGACGAGAGAGAGAGAGAAAAGCAGCAGCAGCGAGGAAACGAAGCCGAAGGCCCAAAAGGCCCCAGAAGCGTCCCTCCCTGTGTGTCAACTTCCTCCCACGAGAAAGGATTAGAGGTCTAATAGAACAGCCTACCTGCTACTGCTGCTGCTGCTACTAGGGTTTCGTTAGCTCGTTAGGCTGGTCGTTCCGCGTTACAAATTCTAGTGCGTTATACCTAGGTTTTTTTATTTGCTATCCTCTGCATATGCAATGGCGACATGTTGACCAGAACCGATTACACCAGGTTTCCCGCGTGCTAACACGCATGGGCCTTTAGATGGACATTCAAGAAGCGTCCAAAATCCTCTACTCTCGACTGCAATCACTCGAAGGAGGCAACGCGTCGAAGCTACTCGGGTGGATGCTAATGCGCGAGAATGCTGACCAGGACTTAGCGGCGCTCGCGAAAGGCTCCGACGCGCAGCTCATGTCGGCCATTGGGATCGCGAAGCGGAACCTCAGCGTGTATTCGTCCATACCGGGATGGCAACACCAGGTACGCGGGATTTTTCTTTTGAGATGCCTCGAGAGTCATGCCCGTTATTGGGTTTACGAAACGGATTCTCAGTCAGTGTGTGCTCATTCATACGAGGATGTCAACACCTTGTGGGCACTTTATCCGCCCACTCCGTTTTTCTTTCTCGTTCCTCTTTCTTTGCCTTTTTGGGTTGTTGTTGGCTCGGAAACTGGAGCTACCATATTTCGGTGGCAGTAAATTTTGACCGGCGATTAAGCCTTAATCCGCGAGACCGTTCTAAAGCCGTGTTTTGTTGTTCTGCCTGGGGGGGCGTGCATGGGGGTGCGCTACAGGGGGTTCTGGCGGAAATCCGGCTTCAACAGGAGAGCGCAGCGTGCGTTGCGCGACAACGGACCGCCGCCGCTCAGTCCTTCGTTCACCAAGCTCACCAGGCTTCCAAAGACAGGTACCTGTCATCTTCTGTTTTTTTATTACCATGCATATTCTCAAACCGCAGCGACTTGTTTGTTTTTTTTCTTTTATTTTTTTTCTTTCCCGGTCTGCGCCACTTGTCCCGTTCATTTTCACTTCTCTTTCAACCCCCCCCCAGCTCTGTCAGCCTCCCCCCTGAACTTCCCGTGGGCCCTTCAACTGACCACGGCATGCTCGTCCTGTTGTCTTTTCGTTTTTTTTTTCTCTCGTTTTGATTTAATTTATTTTGTTTCTCTTCCTCTTTCCCGTTTCCCGCGCCAGATTTCCCCATTCCGAGCGTTTTTCTCCCTCGAAGCAAGCAGCCCTCGCGTCGCTCTCTCCCAATACGCCCCTCGCTGAACCAACCGACACCGCCGCCGCCGCCGCCGCTCCCGGAGATGCTTCTGCTGCTCCGGCGGGAGCGCGACCAATCCCCACGGATGTTCCAGCGATTCCGCACCTGACCGCGCTTCACGGCGCAAGTGGCGCTGCGAGCGACTACGGGTCGTCGCCCGAGAGTTCGCAGTCGTTCATGTTCAAGCGATGCCATTACTTCGCACGCGGATTCTGCAAGCACGGCAGCGCGTGTCGCTTCCTGCACGCGTCGCACGGCCAGTCGGCGACGGCGCCCGTGTCGTCGCCGGGGTCGCCCAGTGCGACGAGCTCGGACGGCATGATGGCGGCTGCGACTTACCCCGAGCCGCAAGGCTCGGAAGAGACTGCTGCTTTGAGCTGCACGGCCGCGAGCGGCGGCGGCGGCGGCGACGAAGGATCTGGTGGTGATGCCAGTAACGGCGGTGACGGTGGAGATTCCTTTTCTGGCAGTAACACCGCAACCGGCGGTGGTGGCGGCGGTGGCGGCGGCGACGGTAGCGGTACTGGTGTGGCCGGGTCTCCTGTTGGCGGGCTTGCGGGCGGCAGCCTGGGTTCTGCGGCGGGTTTCACGCTGGAGCGGCTCGAGGCGGAGCTTTACGAGCTGCTTAGAGACCACAAGGGGCCCATCCACGTGGCATCGCTCCCTCAGCTATACGCGGAGCGGTTCGGGAAACCTTTGCAAGCGGAGGGGTACTTAACAGAGAGCCAGCGGCAGGGGCGGCCCGGACTAAGTCTAACTAAGTTACTCGCGCAGATGAAATCATCGATCGCGTTCGTCGATAGGCCGAGCGGGCAGCGCGCGATCGTTCTAAAGGGGTCGCCGATTTTGGAGGAATCGAAGAAGTTTATAACGTTTAAGGAGCGAGCGGATTTGGCGCCGCCTAGTCCGGGGTCGCGACAAATTTATCTCACTTTCCCCGCTGAGAGCACATTCACGGAGGATGACGTGGCAGCTCATTTCAGGTACACGTGGCAGCCGTAGAGTATATTCCTCTTTTCCCCTTCTCCCTCCTATCTGGGCTCTGCTTATTCCTCCTCCCCCTCCTCCCGCCGCCGCCCATTTCTCCCTTCTCTCCTCCCTCCCTCTGCTTATTCCTCCTCCACCTTTGCCTCTCCCCCGCCACAGCAACTTCGGGCCCGTGCACGAGGTGCGCGTGCCGCATCAGCAGAAGAGCATGTTCGGGTTCGCTCCCCCTCACCATTCCCCCTGCCCCTCCCCTTCTTTTCCCCCCACCCGGCGCGCAGCAAGTTCGGGCCCGTGCACGAGGTGCGCGTGTTGCATCAGCAGAAGCGCATGTTCGGGTTCGCTCCCCCTAATCTTTCCGCTTTTCCCCCTCCCTTCATTCCCCCTGCGCGCAGCAAGTTCGGCCCTGTCCACGAAGTCCGCGTGCCGCATCAGCAGAAGCGCATGTTCGGATTCGTGACGTTCGCGTTCGCGCACAGCGTGAAAGCAATTCTCGAGGAGGGTAACCCGCACCACATCGGCGGCTCGCGCGTCCTCGTCAAGCCGTACCGCGAGAAATCGCGCCACGGCAGCGCCGCCGCCGCGCACGGGGACCGGAAGACGCGCACGGGTGTGGACCGCGGTTCGCAAGTGTCGCCCGCGAAAGGCGCCATGGAGCCATATTCGGGTGATATGATCGTTGTGTTTGGAATCGCCTGTAATGTGACCGTTGTGCTAAAAACGTGTTGTGATGGTGGTTTCTGCAATAATTGCTTCTTTTGTGTACTTTGTATATTACTCATTTTATCGCACTTTGTTCTTATGTTCCTCGTTTCGGTACAGTACTCACGTGTTATTTCTGTTGTATATTTGTTGTCTCTGTTTCGCGTGTTGCAGACGATTCCCCCCCGCCGCCCATTCCCAAGGCGTCAAAGCGACTCTTTCCCGCCAAGAATGTTCTTCAGCAGCCACAGCAGCGGCCGTTGCAGCAGCCACGTCAGCACCAGCCGCAACCGCCGGCGGCGCAGCAGCAGCAAGCAGACGAAGGGGAGGAGCAGCAACCGATACAGCAAGGGCAGCAACAGCAGCAACCGCATGACCTGCAGCAGCAGCAGCAGCGTCACCTGCAGTCGCAGCAACAGCAATCTCGTCTGGAAGGCGGGTGGGGGAGCGATCACAGCCGTCCGATTCACCACCACCGCGTGTCAGCCTCATACGAATCATCTCAATACGGCTCCCCATCTCCCTCCCCTTCCCCTTCTCCTGCCGCCGCCGCCGCTGCCGCCGCCGCTGCTGGCACTCCGGGTGGTGTCCCAGGTGTATCGCCCTTGGCCACCCCCTCTCCCTACGCTCGCACCTCCTCTATCTATGCTTCTGCGTCTGCCTCTGCTTCTCTGTCGTTCTCCTCTGCGTATTCGCCGTCTTCAGCGGCTGTTGCGGCTGCTGCTGCTGCAGCTGCTTCTGCGGCTGTCTATGACACACCGCCCAGGCGCAAGAGCCTGTATCAGTCACTGTCGTTTCGGGAGGCAGCTTCGCAGCAGCTTCCACAGCATGCGTGGCAGCACCGGCAGCAGCAGCAGCAGCAGCAGCACTATCACCACCATCAGCAGCAGCTGCACCAGGAAGAGCAGCAGGGAGGGCATGAGCAGTGGCAGGTGCGGCTGCAGCAGCAGCAGCAGCAGCAGCGGCAAGAGGAGCAGCAGCAGCAGCAGCAGCAGCAGCAGCAGCAGCAGGGGGCAAGCGCTGAGCAATGGCAGGTGCGGCAGCGGCTGCAGCAGTGGCAGCAGCAGCAGGAGGAGAGCGCTCGGCAGTCCCTAGGGCTGGGCGGGATCGCCCTGGGAGACGTGGGACGTGCGTTTTCCGGCAGTGACGTGGATGCCTTGCGGGGTGCAAGGGGCGTGGGGGGAATGGGATTGGGCGGCATGGGGGGCATGGGGGGCATGGGGGGCATGGGGACCGTAGGGGGGGCGGAAGGAGGCGTGGACGAGCAGCTCTTCAAGCCGTCCCATCTCAGCGTCGCTTCTTCCTCTTTCTCCTCCTCCTCCCTCTCCTCAGGCTTTACCGGTTTCTCCTCCGCTCGCACTCCCATGGATCACTCTTTCTCCTTCGCCTCCTCCTCCCTCTCGTCTCTCTCCTCGCTCCCCGGCTATGGCGCCACTAGCACCGCTACCGGCACTACAGCCCACTTCCCACACGGTGAGTGTTGCTCTCCGAGTGTTCTGGTGATCCCTCTTGCTTCTCTCTGTGTCTTTCCTCTTTCCCTGGCTATGGCGCCACCGCCACTGCCACTGCTACTGGCACCACAGCCCACTTCCCACACGGTGAGTGTTTGCTTATGTCCAAGTGTTCTGGTGTCGCCTCGCCCTCTCTCTCTTGTTCCCTCGTGTTCCTTTCCTCTCTCCCTGGCTATGCCGCCACTGCCACCGGCATCGGGACGTGCGCTATGCCCACGTCCCAGACAGCTTCTTCATCGTGCGTGTTTGGGACAGTCAAGTGCTCTGGCGTCGCATCGTCCTCCCTCGTCGTTCCTCTCTTGTTCCTTTCCTCCCTCCACGGCTATGGCAGCTCAGTGATGTGTTCGAGGCAACTCACGCCTGTTCGCCCCCCCCTTCCCGCCCGCTTCTCCCTCTGCTGCGCTTCTCCCTGTGTCTCTCCCTCGTGTCCCTAACAGGCGATGCAGGGCCCGAGGGCCTTCCAAAAACGCCCACACACCGACAGCTCGATGACGTCTTGTAAGCTTGCGCTCCTCCCTCCCTCCCTCGCTCTCCTCCCTCCCTCCCTCCCCTCCCTCCCTCCCTCCCTCCCTCCCTCCCTCCCTCCCTCCCTCCCTCCCTCCCTCCCTCCCTCCCTCCCTCCCTCCCTCCCTCCCTCCCTCCCTCCCTCCCTCCCTCCCTCCCTCCCTCCCTCCTGTCCATGTGGCGCTGCTGCTTATGTATTTGTGTTTGCATCCACGTCGTGCGCGTACTTTCCACCACTTCCACCATGCAGCGATCATCTACATTCGCTTCTCCCTGACAGCAGCCCCTTCACGTCTCCCCTAATGACCAGCGCCGCCAGCACCACTAGTGCCGCATCATTCGAAGGCTCATTCCTCTCTCCCTCTCCTGCCTTGCCCCCCGTGCCTGCAGCGATCTGCACTCGCTTCTCCCTGACAGCCCTTTCACGTCTCCCTTGATGACCAGCACTGCCAGCACCGCCAGCACCATCGGCATCACTAGAGACAAAAACCAAGACCGCCTGCCGCCCGCTGCTGCGCTCACAGCTGGCTCCGCCGCAGCATGGGACGACACAGACCGCCCGGAACCCGTCCCTTCCTCGTCCTCTTCTGCATCTTCTGCCGCCCTCTCTAGGTTCTTCAACCCGCCGCTTTCGACCGTTCTTGCCCCTCCCCCTCCCCCTCCTCCACCACCACCTCCCCTTCCTCTGGATCACCTTCATATTCAGCATCAGCAGCATCAGCAGCAGCAGCATCAGCAGCAGCAAATTTTGCCTGTTGCCACCCGTCGGGCCTCGTTCGGTGGGGTTTCTACTGCTGCTGCCTCCTCCCTTGCTCCTGCTGCTCCGTTTTCTGCAAGTGCCTTCCTCCCTGTCGGCTCTATACAGCAGCAGCAGCAGCAGCAGCAGCAGCAGGTCTCAGGCACTTCGTCCCTGTGGGGACACACAGTGGGGCCAGAGGCAGCAGCAGGGAACGCAGCGATGCAGCTAACTGCTTCTATTGGGGAACTCAGTATGGGGGATACACAGCAGCAACAGCAGCAGCAGCAGCAGCCGCAGGAGGAGCATGGGAGGGTCGTGGCGAGTGTGTGGGGCCACACCTGCGATTCCTGCTCTGGTGAGTGAGAAGAGCTCTTGATTCTTTTGTCCTTGGTGTGTCACCATTTGATTCTCTTGTCGCCCCCACTTATGTTGTGTCACCTGTTCTCTTTTTCGCCTGTTTCACTAATCTTCCCTCCCCTGCGCGTTGCATGCCTGTCCGGATGCGCCCTCCCCCAGAAGCGGCCTACACCATGCAGCTGGCATGCGGGCACTACCACTGCAGCAAGTGCGCCCCGCAGGTGAGAAGGAAGGGGTTGAGAGGGGTTGGAGGTGGTTGGAGAGGGGGCTGGATGGGGCTAGGGGGGATTCCAGAGGTGCATTGTATGGCAGCACGCGCCGCCTTCCAGCCATCTTTCTTGCTGTATTGCCCCGTTTCCCTCCCTTTTTCTCTTTACTGTGCCCCAAGTTATCTCCTTTGTGGTGTGTGTCGTGTGTACCAATGCCTACCAGCCCTCTTGCTCATATGCCTTCCCTTATCCCCTCTTTTTTATGCTTCCTCTTTCCCATGCCCCACGTTCCCCCCATTGAAAGGGTCCCTCGTCGTGGTGTGTTGTGTGTCAGCACACCGCCTACCAGCCGCCTTCCTTCGATGCTCAGTTCATATCCCTCTCCTTCCCTGCACTCCTTTCCTGTTTCCCACGTCTCCCCCCATTCACAGGACCCCTCGTCGTGGTGTGTTGTGTGTCAGCACACCGCCTACCAGCCCCCTTGTGCTCATATGCCACTCTCTCCCTTCCCTCTCTCCTTTCCTGTTTCCCACGTCTCCTCCCACAACTTTCCCCATTGACAGGGTCCCTCGTCGTGGTGTGTTGTGTGTCAGCACACCGCCTATCAGCCCCCTTCCTCTTACCTCGTTGCACAAACTTCGTGGAAGGTTCCCTCTCAAGAATCTGCATGGAAGGTTCCTGCTCAGGAAGCTGCCTGGAAGGTTGCTTCGTTGCAGCTGCAGCCACGCAGCAACAGGTCTCCGTCCTGGTGAGAGGAGCAGCCAGGAGGAGACAGGACGAGACAGGAGGAGACAGGAGACAGGAGGAGACAGGAGGTGATAAGAGGAGACAGGAGGTGATAAGAGGAGACAGGAAGAGGTGATAGGAGAGAAAGCTTTCGAGTCTACTCGAATGGCAGCTGCAGCCATGCAGCAACAGGTCTCCGTCCTGGTGAGAGGAAGGGAGGGGAGATGATAGGAGTGAATTGGAGGAGAAAGGGGAAGGAGGTGAGAGGAGCGAAGAGGAGGGACGGTGGAGGAAGAAAGTGAAAGGGAGAAAGTGAAAGTGAAAGTGAAAGGAAGCAGAAATGAATGTTTGATCAGCGGTGGCTGCAACAGTGTCTCAATGTCGCAGTTGCTAGTTCGGGGCGATGGGAGGATGACCATTACAGTGATGAGGTGACATGCGATAGGACTGATTGTGACAGTGGGAAGCAGTCATGCTGCAAGAGAAGCGACAGGATAGCCGTGGCAGCAGAAGCCGCAGCAGAAGCAGCAGAAACGCAGCAGCAGAAGCAGAAGCAGCAGCAGGAGGGGGGGGGATAGGGGAACGTTGGCGACACGGGATCATGCACAGCTCCCGTTCGTGCTCAGACTAGACTACTGTTGCATTTCCCTCGGCTCTTAGTCTCTATACAGCTGCATTTCCCTCGGCTCTATACAGCATCATCGCTTACGGCAGCGTGTCTCTGTATGGGTTTTCCGTTGCCCCTCAGTTTTGACACTTTTTTACTGAGAATTCACTCAAGGTGCTGAGTGCACCTGGAGGGAGGGGATGGGCATGGAATTTTAATTTAGACGGCTGCTCTTCCAATGTCGGTCCATGGAAGGGAGGGATTGGCTACCCGAGGAGACTTCTCCCCACTTACATACTGCAAGAGGATGCCAGGAAACTTGGCTACCCAACTTGGCTATACTGCAATTATAAGAAGATGCCCTGGAAGAGGGTGTGACTATAAAGAGGCAGGAGCTGTCTTGAAGATGCCGACTGGTGATATAGCAAGATGAGATGGTTCTGAAGGTTGTGACTCGAGAGAAAGATGATCCGACCTGGAATGGGGAGGGGTACGGTCGACTGTGGCCCATGAGGTTGGGTCTCTGAACAGCATCGTCACATCCACTCCCCTCCCTCCCTCCCTTTTCCTTCCCCTTACCCCCTTCCGACCTTCTTTCCCCCTTCCTTCTCTCCTTAATTCTATCCTTACCTCCTTCCCTTCTCAACACAATGATTAGCATTCTTTGCATCACCCTGTCTGCACATGACAAGAGATGGGCGTGTTCGAGAATTGGGACGCGCGTGGCACACGCATTAGGCTGGCAGCCAAAGCCCTACATTAGGCAGGTGCAAACAATAATTTATAGGTTGGGAGTGTAGCTCTTTAGGAGTTGACAAAACCCGCCATTTTAGCAATTCTTGTTAGGCGTAGGATGTGGGACAAGATTACTGTAGGTCCCTTTTTCACATACCTAGATATTAATTTGAACTGCATGATTTGATGCTGATGTGGCTAGCTTAGGCACTAGATGTAGCATTGAATTGAAACTAATTTATGCCCTTCAGTTTGGCTCTTCTGACATTTGTTCGAATTGAGCACGGATGTTACGGTAGTTACCATAAGTTGCCGGATACCCTAATGTCAAACGTTCTCGGTCTGGCTCCTGCGTGCGCGCCGCCTCCTAGAGAGCCAGGTTCAGGCACACGAGACTCTGTGGGCGCACGCTTCCGGTGACCTACCTGAACCAGCTGCCCCTGCAACCTACTCGCCGCCCGCTTGCCGCCCCTGCAGCCCGCCCGCCGCCCGCTTACGGCCCGCTCGCAACCCTCTTGCGGCCCGCGTGCCGCCCCTTGCAGCCCGCTAGCCGCCTCTTGCAGCCTGCGCGCCGCCCCTTGCAGCCTGCTCGCCGCCCCTTGAGGCCCGCTCGCCGCCCCTTGCAGCCTGCGCACCGCCCTTTGGCAGCCCGCTCACCGCCCCTTAGTGTGCCCGCCCAGCTGCTTGCACCGCCCGGCTGCTGCCCGCCCTGCTGCTTGCACCGCCCGGCTCCTGCCCGCCCTGCTGCTGGCCACCCTAGCAGTGCGCCGCCGTGCCCTGCCTGCATGCTGCTCTGCTGGTAGCGCGCCACCCTGCTCTGCCCGCTATGGCTTCTCTCCATGTACTCACGTTCGATCATGAGGGCCGTCCGATCCAGTTCGACACGTGGCGTACCTACTGAGCGACTCTAGAGACAGTGTTTCTTTGTTTGACCACACGTCTGGGGCCTCTCTCGCCCCTCCCGCCACAGCTGACAGTGCGACTCGCTCACAGTGGCTTACCCGTGACGCTGCTGCTAGCTTAGCCATTCGCAACCACCTGCCGTTAGCCGAATGCGCTCACTTCGGACCGCACAAGACTGCTAAAGCACTGTACGACGCTGTAGTCACCCGTTACTCCTCCCCTGCCACTGCTGCTATAGGCCGTCTTCTACTGCCCTACCTGTTCCCGAGCTGTCCGCCTTTGCCACGGTAGAGGACCTCGTTACCCACCTTCGCACTAGCGACGCTCGCCACCGCGCTGCCCTCCTAGCCGAGATCCTTGACAACCCCCCCCCCCCCGATGTACATCACTCTCTACTTCATAGTCGCCCGCCTCCCTGACTCTCTTTGCGCAGTCAGAGACCACTTTCTCGCACTTGACCCCACAGACCTCACTATTGACCTGCTCGAGCAGCACCTCCTTGCAGCTGAGACTAGTGTAGTCGCTGTAGGTGCCGCTCGTGGCACTCCTCGCACGCCCTTCTTTGAAGGGTGTTCCCCCTCCCCCCCTTGCCCCCTCCTACGTCTCTGCTGCTGCTATTGACGTCCTTGGTGCTGAGGATGTCGGGGCTGCTTCTGCTAGTGGAAAGCACCGCAACAGCAATGGCAAGGGTAGCAGGAGTAGTGGAGGTGGCAGCGGGGGTGGTAGTAGGGGCGGCAGTGGAGGTGGTGGAGGTAGTGGAGGTGGTGGCAGCGGTGGGAGTGGTGGCGGTAGTGGGGGCGTTGGTGGCGACGGTGGTGGCAGCGGAGGGAGTGGCGGTAGTGGAGGCAGTGGGAGTGGTGGCAGTCGGGGTGGAGCTGTTCAGAGGGGAGGTTCTGGCGGTGGCCAGCAGCAGCAGCAGCAGTGTCGGCGCGAGACCCCTTCGCCCCAGCAGCTTCGTGAGTGGTTTTCTCAGCGTGGGGCGTCTGGGGGTAGTGTTAGCTGCCCGTATGTCATTCACACGGGTGACCATGCTTGTCAGACATGCGGGAAACCTCATACTCAGCTCCGCTGCTTCTCCCGCCTAGACGACGCTTGGCGCGCAGAGTTTGGTGACGAAGCTGAGCGCCCCCGTTGTGCAGAGCTGCTTAGGTCTGGAGTTGCTATCTTTGATCTTGACTATGATGCTATCCTTGCTGCTATGTATGCCTTGTCTGTTAATGCTGAGGGTGACTGTTACCTCTATGTGCCGCCTGACCTAGGTATAGAGGCTGCTGCTCTAGGTGCTCGTGAGTCTGCTCTCCCTGGTACTGCGCCTGCTGAGGCCTTGCACACCTTTACGCTTGACTCAGGTGCTTCCCGCTTTTTCATTCGCGACAACACCACCCTCACTCCTCTCTCTGCACCTGTACCGGTCAGACTGGCTGACCCCTCAAGGGGCCCAGTTCTTGCCCGTTCCTCTATTGTTCTCCCGTGTCCGGCAGTTCCGTCCGGCTCACTCTCAGGTCTTCACCTCCCCTCGTTCTCTACGAACATGGTGAGTACCACTGCCCTCAAGGATGTGATGGTCACTACCACCACTCCTGGGGGTCAGCGTGTGTCGATCTGCACGTGTACAAGGACAGGTCGTCACCTAGCCACGTTCACCCGTCGGCCTGGGTCGAGTCTGTACACACTGGCTACCGAGCCTCCTCAGGTAGTTGCGTCTGCCCAGGTGTCCGCGTCAGGTCCGGTAGCACCCCCTTGCACGTGTCGCCTCCTGTCGCACCAAACTCTCTTGTGGCACCACCGCCTTGGTCACCCCTCCCTGGCACGCCTTCGTGGCATGCACTCCCGCCTCCTTGTTTCTGGTCTTCCCAGGTCTCTGCCTACCCTCCCGCCCTTAATTGCCCCGCCCTGCCTTCCTTGCATCGAGGGGCGGCAGAGCACCGCTCCTCACTCCTCCTCGTTTCCCCTGACGACTTCTCCCCTGCAGACTCTCCACATGGACGTGTGGGGCCCAGCCCGCGTCAGTGGACAGGGCCGTGAGCGCTACTTTCTGCTGGTTGTTGACGACTACACGCGTTACACCACGGTCTTCCCCTTGCGCAGCATGGGTGAGGTCCTTGATGTCTTGATCCCTTGGATCCGCGCAGTCCGTCTCCAGCTCCGCGAGCGGTTCTGCCAGGACCTTCCTGTCCTGCGTCTGCACTCTGACAGAGGTGGTGAGTTCTCCTCCGACCTCTTGCGGGACTTTTGTCGTGGGGAGGGCATCCTCCAGTCATTCACGCTTCCGGCCTCCCCGCAGAAAAATGGGATTGCTGAGTGCCGCATTGGCTTAGTCATGGAGGTCGCTCGTACCTCCATGATCCATGCGGCTGCTCCCCATTTTCTGTGGCCGTTTGCGGTCCGGTACGCTACGCATCAGCTCAACCTCTGGCCCCGTGTCTCCTTGCTGAAGAACTCGCCTACACTGCGTTGGATAGGGAAGGTTGGCACCAGACTCTCCTTTGGCACCACCGCCTTGGTCACCCCTCCATGCCACGCCTTCGTGGCATGCACTCCCGCCTACTTGTTTCTGGTCTTCCCAGGTCTCTGCCTCCCCTCCCGCCCTCGCATGCCCCGCCCTGCCTTCCTTGTGTCGATGGGCGGCAGAGCGCCGCTCCTCACTCCTCCTCGTTTCCCCTGACGACTGCTCCCCTGCAGACACTCCACATGGACGTGTGGGGCCCAGCCCGCGTCAGTGGACAGGGCCGCGGGCGCTACTTCCTCTTGGTTGTTGACGACTACACGCGTTACACTACGGTCTTCCCCTTGTGCAGCAAGGGTGAGGTCCTTGATGTCTTGATCCCTTGGATCCGCGCAGTCCGTCTCCAGCTCCGCGAGCGGTTCCGCGAGGACCTTCCTGTCATGCG